GACGTACGCGGTCACAGTTTCGTTTGGCGACTGGACGCGGGCAAGAATAGCTCGTTCAGCTCTTTCTTGGCGGTCAGCACTGGCATATGTCTGCAGAAGTCTACGAGAGAATTCTGGCCACGTCGTCAGCTGCTCCTCTCGATTTTGATACCACGTGCGAGCCCCGTCTTCGAGATAGAAGTAGACACGACCCAGTTTCGCCGCGTTGTCCCACTGATTCAAGTTGGCTACGCGCTCGAAGTCCGCCAACCAGTCCTCAACGTCTTCGCTCTCCGTACCATGGAACGTCGTCGGTGCCCGTGGGCTTTCCAACGTATATCGGTTCGACGACGTGCTTCCCGTGCCGGTTGGCAAGGTTTGTACCGAAGTGCTCGTCATGTTTGTTGACGTGGTGGTAGCAGTATCGTTGACTTCCGGAGGCAATCCCCTGATTCGGCGGCTCGTCCGATGCACGGGAGTATTGACTGGCACTGGACTCGTATTACGGCTTCCTGGGGGGGTCTGCAGCATCCGTGAGACTACCCAGCACCTTCCACCAGTTTGTCACGATGAGTCACAAGTACTGGGAGATATATTGAACAACCGGGTAGCTAGCTCTAGGACGATGCGTCAGTCGTGGCTGGCTCTCGAGCCGAGAAGAGACACGCAATTCTTCTTCCTTTCCTCCAGATGGTAGAGCCGCTCTTGCAGTCGACCCACTACGTGTGGGTGGCAATCTGTTGCGTGGCTTGGTCAGCAGTATTGCAGCCTTCTCGAGTGAGTGAGTTATGTTTCACTGAATTTTTAAAGACTGATTTGCATTGTATTTGACCAAGCCAGCAAAATCTACGTCTGAAATGTTTTCCGGCCAAGTCTTATCATACGTTTTGCGAGAATCTGCATCATTGTTGAATCAGTTAAGAGAATCGTGAGGGATATTTTTGTTTGTTTGACAAAACGTTGATGAAAACCAGCAGTTGATGAAGCCATAGAGGGTATTTGGTCGTCAATTATACCGTTTAGAGTGTGACCGTTATATGTATGTGAAGAAAGTGAAGTGGACTAAAAGACGACTTGCCGCAGTCTGAGCCTGCAACCTTCGGATCAGAAGGTTGCATGTTTTGACTTACCATGGCTGCAGGAAATTGTATTTTCGTCTAGTTTACTTCCTTCGTATGTACCATCATTACTACAACACATTTAGAACAGAGTAGTTAACAACTCCAATACATTAGATGGCTTGAATAACTGCTGCTTTTAATTGGCGTTATTGAACATCTTTTCTTATACATGAAATGGTCATGTTTTGTTTACTTGGTTTCATGTACATGAAATAATAAAATATTTTTTTATAATTTTAATTTATGTGCAGGCTACACACAATGGAGTCTTTCTTCGCGAGCACCTTTTGTTCCCGTAGCCGATCTGGTGCCTCTTACGAGACCACTGTGACAACATATTCGTTTTGCGCACAAATCAATAAGGTAATGTTTTCTTCTGGTAGGCCTGAGCACTAGAGGCAAACCGCATGCCACAATAACTGTACATTAGTTTTGTTCCAACCTCGTTTATATTGTGCTGTTTACTGTACACGTGAATCGCAGGTGACTGCATGATAGTACTATCTTGAGTATTCACACAAACAATGATATAGCTTGGACTCGAGAGCATTCTGCGCCACCAAGATTCTATACATGGACATGTGCCTCAAAGGTCCAGAAGACAATAAAAGCGCTACCTAAGTACCTAGTGCCAACCGATCTGTGCGACAGCCTATTTCATGTGCTGCCTAATAATGTGTGCCGCGTGGTTCTGTCCATGCCTATCTTTTATGCTGTCCCTCTTTTCCCCCTTTTATCTTTCTCTCCCAGTGCAGGGCAGCACGCTAGACGCGCACCTTCGGGCCTTCCTTTCTTTCTTTATACAAGCATATATGCAAACTAAGTATTTGTTTACTTCAGTTTGTTTTCTCTTGCATTTCGTTCGTGGTTTGTGTGTTTCCTAAAACCCGTGATTATTTCCGGTGCCATGGGTCTGTCTTGTGCGACCATTCGTTTGTTTCAAACAAACGAACGAATATGATATCCTGAATGCATTTGCTATGCTCTTTTCGACGGAGAAAGAAGCACAAAAAGATATCAGACATTGTTTCAACGTTTCCGCTCTGATTTTAAAATAAGCCAACATTGACACGTGTCAAGGTTCATGTTGGCAAGCGACTATGGTGTGCATGATGAATACGAACAACAGGCTCAACTGTGCCCTTCACGGCGCAGTGGTTTTGAGAAAAGCATGCAGGGTACAGACATCGTTGCTGAGCACAAGTGGCCACAAAAAAAAAAAAACGGCCAGACCATAATGCCCAGAAGATCGACTCTTTTAGCGAAAGAAGCCAAGCAGTGAATTGGACAGTGAACGTGCCGCAAGGTGTTGCGCCACGCAGTCATTGCGTGCTTCGCTGTACCCAACCGCCACTGGTCTAGTGAAGAGATTTCTCGCCAGTGTTCTTCGTTTCTCTGTCAGGTCAGTGAGGGTCAAAGATGCTCTCTAGAGAGATTCGGGGTCTCCAACACTGGAGCGAGCGTTCTGAATTTAGCACTGCTTTTTACCACGCACTGCACTGGCGTAACCACATCTTTGATTTCGTTCTTGATTGTTTCTTTCTTTTTTTAAAGGCCAAAACCTTATATTCCTCGTCAAAACCAAAATGGAAGCAAGACTCAACGTCGTCAAGACCGCTTCAGCAGCGGAGCTGCAGTGGTATCGTATTGCTATTTCACTGCTTGACTTCGTTCGTAGCGTTTAGTTGACCGGAGGGGAGCAGTGGAGCTTAGCCGATTTCATTGGCACGGACGCGCTAGGTGCTGCGTTACACTCGACAGAGATTAACCGTGACCTTACCACTGTAAGGCAGTGCCAATGAATACAAAACCATTCTCTGTAACGCTGGGATGGAAACTGAATATATTAAAGCCTTCAAATTAGGAATAAATAAAATGAACAGACTGACACACCGTATAATTTATAAAATGGTGAAACACTCATCTAATAAATCGCCCTACGTAAATATCTGCTCAATAATAAACATCGTAACTAACATCTCGGACTATATCTACGCCTAATCGGGCAAACAACAACGCCACGTGAGCATCTGCTATAAGATGCCCCTTCTGCGTTACAGCAATACTTTCAGACCTTTTACAAAACTTTATCTCAGCTGCTACTGAAAAACTTTTGGGGTAGAGAAATTTTGTTGAAACGCACAAAGATATCGAGGTATAAATGAATGAGCTCGTGGTCTCACTTATGTTTACTTACTAGAGTACATGATCACAAGTGTCAGTGCTAAAGACTAAAAGAATGACAATGGATTACAGGTGCTATACTATACTGTCTTTTCGAGGCTCCCTTCATGTTCTTTTATGACGTGTTGGTGTGAAGAGGACGCAGATTGAGGTTGAGAGCAACTCGGCTACTCTATTTCTCTTTGTTCTAGATAAATAAACAAATGAATAAATAGAATGGCGCTAACATGAATTGACCAAAAAACGAAAGAAATAAAGAAAATAACCTTGCCACTGTATGATTCAAAGGCAGCTTTTGAAAGTGCCTATTGGAATTAATGAACCTTCCAGCGACCATGCTCAGCGCTGTTATAATATGTGTGGATTCACGCAGGAACAGGGAGTTCATAGAAGCAGAGGCAACTTGATTGATATGTGGGGTTTAACGTCCCAAAACCACTATATGATTATGAGAGACGCCGTAGTGAAGGGCTCCGGAAATTTCGACCACCTGGGGTTCTTTAACGTGCACCCAAATCTGAGTACACGGGCCTACAACATTTCCGCCTCCATCGGAATTGCAGCCGCTGCAGCCGGGATTCGAACCCGCGACGTGCGGGTCAGCAGCCGAGTACCTTAGCCACTAGACCACCGCGGCGGGGCATCAGCAGAGGCAACTTGAAGTCACGTTCAAGCCCAGATGTCTCCAAATTAACTCTCGGCTTCGATTCACAAAGTTCACTTTCACTTGTAACACATTTGTGAACAAGGAGCATTTTGCCCAGATATCGAGGCTTAGCGAATCTCTAAGCAGCAGTTGTTCGACGCGAAGTATGGCTACGCAGAATCGGGCATTCACGCGTAGACCTCCTATCAACCTTGAAACAGCCTTCTGCATTCGCGTATTCGTGGAATATGAAGCTTTTACTTTTCTATCGCGAGCGCTATCTCATGCTTTTCATTGCGTTAGTATGCCACTTAGTTAAAATAACGGAAGGAATAGAAACGTTCATCTGTCGTTTGAAAGTGTTAAGCAGTTGCTGGGGGAAATAATTGGATAACGCGCCAGGTCTACCATCAGCTCAAAACGTGGTGAATTAAATTACCAAAGCCGTGAGACTTCGCATCGTATAGGCACAGAGAACTCAAGCGATCTATGGCGCCCCAAGGAAGCGCCGTGAAAAGTCCTTCCTATGGGTCGTGCACCTTTGTTCGAGACGAACATTAATCCTAAATTATGGCTGTGCCCTTTCACAAAACGTATCAGGCCGATAATGTTCAGGTGTATAAAATAATGCTGATTTTTATTATCAGTTTTCCCTCTTGAGAACTGACAAGAATGCTAATTTTAGTTCACACTTATTTACTGATATTTGGACATACACACTTGGGCAAAACCATTCAGTAAAAGGGAATCACTTTAAGCTAAACAGCTTTTAGGCATTGCATCGATTAATCGACAAACGAACATACCTAGAAATAAGTTAACGTATCGCTATAATGTTCCAGTTACTTATTGATGCAGATGGCGTTCTAAGAGATGTTCCTACTCGTGGCAACACTCTAATAGCCCGATACATAATGTCTTTATGACACTAGAAAAAAAAAGCCCAACAGAAGCTAAGCATTGAAATGCACAGCGTATAAGGGCTGAGAAGAAGCCGAAGCTTATCATCACTCGGGTTCACAGTATCTAGGAAGAGCGGCCCCTCAACTACCAGCTGCCGGAGAGCTCACCTGCTGCTGCTGATAGGGCATCGCCTGCTGCGGATAGCCGCTTCCCGCCCGACGGCTGTCTTGAGCGGCGTCTGACGGCGGCGGCCGGCGCGGGTCCCCAGGCGCCGCCGCCGCCGATAGCGCCCCGGCCCACAAGAAATCACGTCCTCTCGTCATTCGACGACACCTCCTCCGAAGCAGTGGGCTTGGCCCGTGACGACGTTAGCACCCGGGAAGTGTGCAAACACGCTTGCCTGCAACCTTGCATGGTTAGATGATGATGATAAAATGTATTGGTATTCCCTTCTGAGTGGGGTGGACACTAGTAGTCACATTTTTATTGGCACCAGTAGGCATTTTTGCTTAAGTTAAATAAGACGGCACAATTCTGTTGTAAAGTGTGAGTCGCAGCGTCCCCCCCCCCCCCCACTTCTTCATTACGTCAATACGTCAGGCAGACTGCACCCCGTTCCTATTATGTCAACGCGTAGCGCTGACTTTATTTCGGGGGGGGGGGGGGGGGGGTGCACACATCTATGCATCTTGGCTATCTGATGGGACAGACGCATTCTTTCAGGAGTACACTGGAAGATACCCACGTATCTCGCGCATTACAAATGGAAGCGCGAGTGGTCGCTTTGTTCGGATGCGCCGAGCTACGACGTCGCGATGGTTTGTGGCTCCGTCAGTCAGACGTGAAGCTGCGTACGAAAAGAGCTTCCGGGAAAGCTACGTCACCTCCGCGGCTTCCTGAAAACTTACGCAATTGTTGACGCTGCGAATCGTGCGTATCAGTGGAAAGTGTACGCACCGGGAAACGCCTGATGAAAAGCTGCAAGTGACGGGCCTTGGAACTGCACGTGATTTTTGTCACGCCCACATTTTTTTAAAAGGTTAAAAGCGAAGGCGGCTCTGCAAAGCAACACTTGTAAGACGCAAATCACTGTCCCTTTCTACCAAGAAACTCAGCATCGTCTAACCTCTGTCAGATCTATCGACTGAGATTCAGAAGTATTCCACAGAGTTGTATTCCTTCCTCCAAGACATATGCAGCGTTTATTATTATTATTATTATTATTATTATTATTATTATTATTATTATTATTATTATTATTATTATATCTCTTCTGTTTAGGTAGTATTGCTTCCGCTAACGTGATTCTCGCTTGTTATTGTGTTTATATGTAGCGTAAATGAGTTATATGTATTCTTTCTCTGACTGTTTACATGAAAAGCTTTTCAATATATAGGTCATCTCTCGTCTGCCGATGTGCCGGGCCAAGTCCTCCAAGCCACTGCCTGGCTTTGACAGGCCTGTTATTTGTTTTGTAAAACTCGAGATGACAATAAATAATAATAATAATAATAATAATAATAATAATAATAATAATAATAATAATAATAATAATAATAATAATAATAATAATAATAATAATAATAATAATAATGGTAGTAGTAGTAGTAGCAGTAGTAGTAGTAGTAGTAGTAGTAGTAGTAGTAGTAGTAGTAGTAGTAGTAGTAGTAGTAGTAGTAGTAGTGCGCTTGCCATGGTTTGCACTCACAAATTATACAAGAACAGAGAGAGAATAGCGGGAAACAGGCTGACAAGTGCCCCCTACAGGGGCGTATGCCCGCTCCTTTGGAAAGGAGGAAACATAAAGGAAACGAAATTATTTGTAAAACAAAACGAAAGCAAACACGGAGGAGGCACAAATAAGTAGTCACATGCAAACATGTCTATAAGCGCGAAGCCAAATCTGTTTTTGTTTATGAAAGTTCGAGCTCGATGGGCCTGATCAGTCCGAACAGAACATTCTCTCGAAAAAATTCGGTGAGACACACATTCCGTAGCGATGTCTGAGCTGATAATGTTGAATAATTGTCTCCCTAGTATTTCAAGCTAATCTTGCTTGCCGTGCCATTAAGCACACCCAGAAACAGTTTAATGGCATTCTTGCACAATCTGCCGTGTTTCAAGAATGCATTTTAATCTCACTGGCGTCCGGCATTACTTTTCTTTATTGGATGCGTACCTCGAGCTGTGTACGTTCGATAACAAAACGTTATTGCATTCAGTAATGTTTACCAGCGTGCACGGTAGTGGTTAAATACAGCACCGCATATGAGCTTAGCCATGCGAGCAGATGTCACGGGCAGCAGCTGCTGAAGTACAGTCACTTGTCGTACTCAAATAATATTTCAGCTAATAATAGAAAAAACTCGCAAAACTACGTAATATAAGGTTTGGTAGTCCTGGGCGGACTCAGAAACGACACTTCAATGCACCCGTACACATGACTTGGCAACCAAAGCAACATGACCAAACAAAAACTTTGATGACCAGCCTTAATCTGTGAAGCATTACGCTTTGTTCAGTAATGGTTGCCAGGTTTCTTCCCCTGCAAGCGGCAAGCTCATGGGAACTTGTGCTTTGTAATGAGGACATAGCACAGCTTGTTCTCTCATGTGCAAAGTCTCATGAGTCAGGAGAAATTTTTCCAAAGATCTCCACTCGAGAATACATAGAACGCGCTGTGAAAGACGGGGTTACCACAGTTTTTTTTTTCTGTGTGTGTGTGTGTGTGTGTGCCGTTTAGTTTGAACAGGTGAGAACTGTGCATTAACCTCATTGCGCCGTGCGTACGTCGAATGAGAACTTATTGCTGGGAGAGTTGAGGATTGTATAACGTGTGATTTTAGCGTTAAAAAGGATCAACACAAGTGAAAGGCACGACAGCGCCTGTCCTGCCCCCCTCCCCCCCAACAGAGTTTGTGTTTTTCAGCGCTAAAATCACCATGTTATACATATACGTTTACTTTGGTTTGAACTTATGAGCACTGCGTGTAAAGCTTATAGCGTGCATGCACACTTTGGAATTTGACAGACCGTTCTAAGTAAGCTTTAGTAAATTACCGTAAATCTTAAAAGGTGTTGTGTTGGCAAGTATTGCACTGTTAAAAATAAGTTAGTAAAAAACTCGTAACCACGAGCAAAATGTTAGTAACAGCAACTGGTACTAACCTTCTTGGGTCATTACTAACCTTTAAGGAGCTACATTTTCGATGGCGGCGAAAATCATCATCATCATCATCATCATCATCATCAGCCTGACTACGTCCACTGCAGGACAAAGGCCTCTCCCATGTTCCGCCAGTTAACCCGGTCCTGTGCTTGCTGCTGCCAATTTATACCCGCAAACTTCTTAATCTCATCTGCCCACCTAACCTTCTGTCTCCCCCTAACCCGCTTCCCTTCTCTGGGAATCCAGTTAGTTACCCTTAACGACCAGCGGTTATCCTGTCTACGCACTACATGCCCGGCCCATGTCCATTTCCTCTTCTTTATTTCAACTACGATATCCTTAACCCCCGTTTGTCCCCTAATCCACTCTGCTCTCTTCTTGTCTCTTAAGGTTACACCTACCATTTTTCTTTCCATTGCTCGCTACGTCGTCCTCAATTTAAGCTGAACCCTCTTTGTAAGTCTCCAGGTTTCTGCTCCGTAGCTAAGTACCGGTAAGATACAGCTGTTATATACCTTGCTCTTGAGGGATAGTGGCATATCTACCTGTCATAATTTGAGAGTGCTTGCCGAATGTGCTCCACCCCATTCTTATTCTTCTAGTTACTTCCATCTCGTGGTTCGGCTCTGCGGTTATTACCTGCCCTAAGTAGACATAGTCTTTTACAACTTCAAGTGCACTATTACCTATCTCGAAGCGCTGCTCCTTTCCGAGGTTGTTGTACAGTACTTTCGCTTTCTGCAGATTAATTTTAAGACCCACCTTTCTGCTCTCCTTGTCAAACTCTGTAATCATGAGTTGCAATTCGTCCCCTGAGTTACTCAGCAAAGCAATGTAATCGGCGAAGCGCAGGTTACTGAGGTATTCTCCATTAACTCTTATCCTTAAATGTTCCCACTCTAGGCTTCTGAAGACCTCCTGTAAGCACGCGGTAAATAGCATTGGGGAGATTGTGTCCCCCTGCCTTACAGCCTTCTTGATTGGTATTCTGTTGCTTTCTTTATGAAACACTATGGTAGCAGTTGATCCCCTGTACATTTCTTCCAGAATATTTATATATACTTCATCCATGCACTGATTCCACAGTGTCTGCATGACGGCTGATATTTCTACTCAATCAATGGCGGCGAAAATGCTGCAGGCCATTGTGCTCAGATTTGGACGCACGTTAAAGAACCCCAGGTGGTCGAAATTTCCGGAGCCCTTCACTACGGTGTCTCTAATAATGATATGGTGGTTTTGGGAAGTTATACTCCACATATCAATCAAATCATCAATCTTTTACGAGCATTTTACTGCCTATGTTAGCAAACGCTTGAAGGTTGCAATGGTTACTACCTTTTGCGCACTGTTGGTAACTTTTTGTCATGCATGTATTTAATGAACTTGTTAAACAAATTTTAAAGGTTATTACCACGAGCGTCTAACAACCTATTGAGTAGCGCGGGGATGCATTCAAGTTCATCGGGGCATTATATGCAAGCTTACTACGCAGTCTTATGTCTTGAGTATTAGGCCGTGTTGAGTCAGCATTAGGCAATATAGACATCACTCATTGTATTTCTTAATATGTTTGATAAAAGTCCTACGCTCCATTACTTCGCTCACCTAAAAAACTCTACGTTGTACAAATGAAGGCGACTAACCTAAGATATACACCCTACTGCATAGGCGCCCACCAGCACCAGCTGCGTTCCTCAAAGTTAGGGCTACAAAATACTCTTGAATCCGTTTACGGACTGTGTCTCTCGCGCGGACTTGTATATGTGTGCTGTTCTTTTTCGAAATTATGTGCATAATTACTGAGTTATATATGAAAATTTTCATGCTCGCGAATAGGACCATTATAAAACGGGTGATTTGTGACAGAAAATGATCGCGTCTAGTACATTTTTTTGTAAGCAACCGTTACTACCTACGTTAGTAAACATAACTAACTGTGATAGTAATGGTGGAGGTAGTAACGGATACATCACCCCCGTTATTCACCTCACTTATTAACCGGTTAGTAACATATGTGACAAGCACTTTTGTAAACCAAACTTAGTAACTACAACAACCTTT